CTTTTTGTAAAAAGTTTTGTGTAAAGGTGGGTGGCCATCTTCGTGGCAGCCCACTTACATCATGTTAAAACACCTTGCAAAACACTTGAGGGTTCCGCTTCATTTGGGTAGACCTTAGGTCCACCATCTTGAACTTCATATCTTAACTACCTTTGTTTTTAACATGGCAGCTTTATATCCCTCTCATCTCGTTTTTAAAACAGCTTTAATGCGGCAGTTTCTTTTTTTATTTGAAACTTCTCTCTCTCTCATACCTTGAATGACGTTTTCTTTTTTTAAGCCACAGGTGAGATACGGATCTTATGAACATCACTTTCTCTCTCTCTCAATCTCTCCTTTCGCCTCTCTTTCTCTTTCTCTCTCTCTCTCCTTTCGCCAGGCTTTTTGTAAGTTGTTTTTACTAATTCATATCACTTAATGTCAATGGTCAAGGAATGACTGCTTCTCGATCATCTACATTAATCCATAATGTTTGCACATTGAGGCTCTTACTTTTATCTCCTCTCTGTCACGCCCCATTTCTTGAGTCCTATGATTTCCTCGACTCTGGCCGTAAAGTTACGAGTAAGTGACCTTATTGTCTTGAAAATAATGTTTTTATTAAAATTGTGATTTTTTTTTTACTGTTAAGAATTTTAGACACTATAAGTTTTATGTGTAAGTGACATCATTGTCTTGAAAACTAATCTTTTAATAAAATTGTGATATTTTATCTATTGATAGGAATTTTAAATCCTGTAAATTCTTAGAAATAAATTTATTTAGACATTGTAAAATTCATGTGCAAATAACTACCTCATTATTTGAAAAACTGATATTTCTGTACTTGATTGTAGTATTGACCACCAAATGATTATTTACGAATTGGCAATTCCATAAATTGTGATAATTTAGTATTTAATTTTGGATTCCCATAAGGGTTCTTCTATTGATACTAGACTATTATCATATTAGATTTCAAGAATATCCTTCAGAATTGCTACCTTTTATAAATTATTGCCAAAATATTTGACTGGTTTCTTACAAATATTTCAATGAAAGTGATTGTTTACATTGTTTCAAGTAAATTCATGTTAATGATTTCAATAATATTTTGCATATATGATGTTGCTGCTTTCTGATGTTAAAAGAGTTTCATAGATAATTTGAGTATAAGTAGACCTATCCGATTATGTCGGTAGGGATTATGTGGACTCATTCGGGATACCGGTGAGGTATAATCGGACCTGCAAGGATTGTTAGGACCTATCTGGTTATGCCGATAGAAACTATTTGGACTCATCCAGTACACCTGTGAGGTATGATAGAACCTGTAGGGATTGTTAGGACCTATCCGGTTATGTTGGTAGGGAATATTTGGACTCATTTGGGATACCGGTGAGGTATGTTTGGACCTGTAGGGAATGTTAGAATTTATCCGGTTATGGTGGTAGGGACTATTTGGACTCATCTGGGACACTGGTGAGGTCTGATCGGACCTACAAGGATTGTTAAGACCTATTCAGTTATGCCGGTAGAGACTATTTGGAATCATCCGGGATGCCGATGAGGTATGTTTGGACTTGCAGGGATTGTTAGAACCTATCCGATTATGCCAGTAGGGACTATTTGGACTCATCCGAGACACCGGTGAGGTATGTTTAGACCCATCCAGGACGCTGATGAGGTATATAGGTGACCTACTTGGGACGCTAGTAAGGTATTTTGTGAAATCCTTTGAGTTACGTATTTTTGTTAAATTGTTTTTATGCATTTCAATCTTTTGGATTATGCTCAATTATGTATTCCTAAAAGTGAAATTATTCTCCATAAATGTTCTTCCTCAGGTTGTTTTTAATATATTGTTTTTAATATACATATATCTTCCAACTCCAACTATGATTATTTTTTAGGACTATGATATTCACTTACTGAATATCTAAACTTATCAAACTATGGTAAATATTTTTCAGGGTAATTGCAGTTCCATAGTTCGAATGCAGCAGGACCATCTTTGAAGAATTTGTAAGCATGATTAACCTTCTCCTTGTAACTTTTGATCAAATGCACCATTGTAATTTTTGTTCAATCAAAGAGATGTATATATCCAGACCTTCATGTTAATATTGGTAGTGAGTAAACTTATGTACAAATTTCCAGAAATGGAAAAAGAAAATCCGGTTTGACGCTATATATATATATAATTTGTGAATTTGTTCTATATAGCATAAAAATAATATGTCGCACCTCAAGAATGTTAGTGATCTTGAGGTGAGCCACTTATGTTCTTGTAAATTTGTATTCCATCTTTTTTTTTTTTCCGATACTTCTTTGTCAAAAATCAATCTATTTAATTTAAAGATTCCGCACACAATTTTGAGATTTCATACACAATAAGTGGTATCAAATCCCTACAACAACAGCCTTACATATAATAAATGCAATGACAATCCAAAGTTTTGCCCCAATAACTACAAAAGAACAATCAAATTAAGTCCACTGCTACAGATCAAAGAATAAAATCCACCCAAGATGATAGACATGAATAAATAAAACAAACCATGAATGTACAAAGCAGAGAGAGAAAAAGGTATACGTATGGGTTTTTCAAAAGGGCACCAAACGTCAGTGGTGATGCCTCTGTCTCTCTGATCCTTTAAAAAACGGGTAAACAAAAATTTCCTTTTAATAGTAGAGAGAGAAACGAGTAAAACTTTTTAAAAAAAGTTTAGTGGAAAGCGAGTACTACCGTTTGTCAGGACAATAAAGTGCTTTTGGGCATGGCCATCGGTCCACTGGTAGCAGGAAGGAAAGTAATAAAAAAATCATCTGGAAACGTGTATTGAGACAAGCCATTAATATAAGTAGTGATCTCACCACACCCTTTCACAACGATCTCAAAGTATTATTATTAAATTTGAAATAAATTTTTTTAAAAAATCTAAGTTCTACATCAATGTAATAACGTTTTTTAAAAGTATGCGTCAAATTTAATAATGAGTCTTTAAAGTCTTATACATGTAGTTATGGAAAGGTCTCGTAAGATTATTACTCCAATATTTATTGAAGAGAAAAAAAATTATGATGCATAAATTGTGACAATGTACCGGTCAACAACAATCACAATGTTTAAATAAAGGGATTGAGGGTAAACAATGAAAATTACCATTAAAAAAAAAATTCTAAAATAATGAAGATGAAATCAACCTCGTTCATAATTTTGGAACGAAGATGAGTACCGAGCCGAGATCTGAAAAAAAGGTGTGCCGTGAGATTAATAACATAAAGCCCCAATTTTATTTGAGGAACCTCTTTTTAAAGAGAAAAAAAGCTTTTTATAAACACGTGAACAAGCTCATTTCCATTGTGCTTTCTCTCTGTCTCTAACTTCTCTTGTGTATACGAAAAACAGATGTGCCCAACGTTTTATTTATCAACAAATCTATGAGAAACAATCTCCAAGAAATAAAAAATATTTAGCCTCATTTTACATGAACATTAGAAATTTTTTGAAAAAACAATTATTTATATATATATTATATTAAATAAATATTTTAATAATAGATAAACTTTAAAAAATATACATAAAACTCCTTCCCCATACGTGTCAACAATATATAAATATATAAAAAAAATTTATACATTTTGTATCAGGGCGAATCGACTGTGACTTGGATCCAACTTGACCTGATAGAGTCCAAGTGGATATAGACCCAAGGGGTGGGGCGACATGGCCCAATTGCCACCACTGGAGCATACGCTCGTTGCCTATTTTATCTTCTCCGGTCAAGAGCTTAGGTAGCAAGTCGGGGATTTTCAATAAATCAGTTTATTTTAAAATCGAAAAAAAATCGTTTTTATTTTAAAAAGTTTGTTGAAAAAATCAAATAAAAAATATGGATCGGCAAAAATGCTTCATGTAAAGATATCGCTAATATATTAGACTAGGCTAAAAAAATCGGAGTAAAAAAATCGGATAAGTTAACAAAGATCACAACTACTTCATACCAAAAAAAAATACACGATATAAATTTTCATATTAAATAATTTAATAAAGATCACAACTACTTCAAAAAAAAAAAAATACACCATATAAATTTTCACGTTAAATACTTCAACAAATATCAAATCTACTTAAATATCAACATACCAAAAAAAAAAGCACAATTGTTCTTTTGCAAATATCAACGTACCCAACATTCACCATATAAATCTTCACATTGAATACTTCAGGAATTTTTTTTTCTTTTGTTTAAAAAGATACAAGTAAAAGTGCATTTTTTTGGGCCCGTTTAATTTGTTTTCCAATAAAACGTGTTTTTAACGTTTTAATGAAAAAAACGCGATTTCTTTACGAACTGTTAAAAAAAACGTCATTTTAAACGATTTTCAAAAGAACTCAAAAATCGCCGATTTGTTAAACTATGGCCAAGAGTGAACATAACAGAAAAGGAAAAAGTCTATATAGAGCCGAGGCTCTAAACAATCAAGTTTGTGCCCACCTAAAAACTTTCACCGGAAGAGGTTGTTTTGATACTCAAATATCCTTAAATTGATCATCTCGACGTCAAGATCTATGAACATAAGAAAAAAATGGATTTCAAGTTTTGGAAATAATATATCTTGTAATTTATTTTTGGACAATCAATTTTCAAGATTTTCAAGTTTTCATAGATCTACTCCATCTACACTATTTTTAAGCTTTAAATTTTATAATTAAAGATGAGCATATATTTTAAGGCTATTACAAAGATTTCCAATATTGAAACCACATTTTTTGACAAGATTTAAAAGTGTACTGTAATTTGATTGTTTAGAGCCTCGGCTCTATACAAACGGCACCGTTTTATGATGTGATGTTCGGTAAGTTCCTAATCATTTACATAGTCACAATCCGAAAATAGGTGGTCTGACGATCAATTGGTTTTGTTCTCCAGGAATACGCAAAATATCATCCAGGTCACTTTATAACTTAAAGTCAGAATATTTTACCTGTCCAGGAGCACCCCATTGAACAATCGCATCAGAAAATCTCTTTTCTTGAGGGAGCAAATGAATATTGTAATTCTCCAGGAGCACCCCATCGCTCTTTTGCTTGAGAGAGCAAATGAATATTGTACTTCTCCAGGAGCACCCCATTAACAACTGGTTCTTACCGACCATATGAAATTCCATTGTACAAAACCCACTCTGAGTCCACATAGAGAGACGCATAAATAGAGAGATCACAAGCACTCCTGTCAATTTCATTTGGTCCACATATAGAGAGAGAGATGGGCTCAACAATGGCGGATAAGCCTCATGCCCTGTGCCTTCCATTTCCAGGTCAAGGCCATATCAACCCCATGATGAAACTAGCCATGCTTATCCATTCCAGAGGCTTTCACATAACCTTTGTGAACACACACTTCACTCATGAGCGCATAGCCGAGTCTTGCGGCCCGTCGGCCTTAACAGGACTCCATGACTTTCGACTTGAAACCATCTCCGACGGGCTGCCGCAAGATCATGGCAGAATTCTCAAGCTCCCGGAACTCTGTGAAGCTGCTCTAAAAAATTTTCCAGCACCTTTGAAGCAGTTAATTGTCGAGATAAATGAATCGGGGGATGTCCCTCCTGTAAGTTGCATTGTTTCGAGCGGGTTCTTGAATTTCACTCAGGAGATTGCAGATGAGGTGGGGGTTCCCCGGGTAGCCTTGTGGACCACCAGTGCCTGTGGATATTGGGGATACTTCCACGTTCCTGATCTCATTCAAAAAGGCTATACCCCTCTTAAAGGTATGTCTTATTTATCATTATTAATTTATTATTCATGGGATGCAGTTTGTGTGAGGTTGAAACCTTATAAGTATGGTTAGAACTTTTATTTGAATTGCAAGGTGTAGATTTCATAAATCTTTTAAGACAGAAGTTGGATGTCTGTTAAGATGATAATGAATTTAATCATCCAAATAAAATAGGCAGTACAAATTACTGTAAACTTACTTTTATAAATAACTATAAGTTAGTAGCAACAATGACGGTAATAATAGTAAAAATCAGTACTTTGAAAGAGCCTAGATGGTGGTTACCAATAGTGGTTACCAATAGAGAACGGAAAAACTGACTGTTAGTGGGTGGCAAGTTCATTCCACCAGTCTAGTATTTTAAACTAGTATTTTAAATGCTTGTACTAAATTACAATATGTTTTTGTTGTTGTAATTATAGAATTTTGAGAGGATAAATAATCTTAGTTACGCCATACTCATCGTTATCATTTAGGTCTGATTTGTATGAGGTGTCAATCTTATGCACCAAAAATATCCGTCTGAAGAGCTTGTTTTGTTGTCGAAAAACCTTATCATCGCTAAAATATCATTTTTTACTATGAAATATAAAGCTTCAAATATGATGCAGATTTAAGATCTATATGTAGTTGAAAATCTTGAAATTAGACGGTCTAGATAATGAGTTATAAGAGGCACAATGATTTGAAATCTATTTTTCTTTCGCATTTATATGTCTCAAGGTTGAGATGATAAATTATAGTGTTTTTTTGACACGGGAACAACATTTTTAGGTACATTTTTAGGGTACACCTTACTTCTGTTGTGGAAGGTTGACAACTTATATAAACTTTTTCATCATTATTCAAAAAAATTATACAAAGAGATCATTTATTTTTTATACAAGGTTAACACAATTAATCATGTCTATCATATTTGAAATCGAGTAGTTGTGAGTGTATCAGGATTCAAAATTAAACATAAAATTTTCTAAACTTTGTATCGCACCCGAAGCCATCTGACATGCCACCCAATGACAAGCAACAATTGTGACTTCCTTGTAACAAAGCTAAATGGTATGGTAGCACGCAATCCAATAGTAGTAATAATTGTAATACATTTCTTTTGAAAGAAAATCCTACAATATTCCACTTCAATTAAGCAGGATCGGGTCATATGGGACCTATCTTGTGGAAGTCAACCATCATTATTGAGACATTTACCTAATGTGACGTGGGATATGTCAACCACATTATTGAGACATTTATATAAGGGTGCGGTTTGTATAGAGCCTAGGTTCTAAACAATCAAATTAGACCCTACCTTCAAATAGTATCTAAAAATGTAGTTTTAATATTGAAAATCTTTGTGATAGCCTTAAGATGTATTTTTATATTTATTTATAAAGTTTAAAGCTTTAAAAATAGTTTAGATTGACAGATCTATGAAAACTTGAAAATCTTAAAAATTGACGGTCCAAAATTGTGTTACAAAATACACTATTTCCAAAACTTGAAATCCATTTTTTTCTCATGTCCCTGCATCTTGTTGTCGAGATGGTAAATTTGAAGATATTTGAGCATCAAAACAAACTCTTCTAAAAATTTTTGGGGTAGGTTCAAATTTGATTGTTTAGAGCCTCGGCTCTATATAAACTTCTCCCTTTATCTAATGTAAATATCTTTGGCTAACTGTCCAAGCATAATATTTGGATTTGGAATTTTAATAAATCAACGCCCATGTTCCCTAAAATTTAACATATCTCTTCTTTAGACAAAAAATTTTGCAAAGCTCGAATTTGATTTTTGGGTTGAGGATGGGTTGGATAGGGTCAGATCAAACTAGCATCTAGATTCAGATCCGAAAAATATACATGAATCTGGATTCGGACTTGGATCTAGATCTATGGGATCTGGATTCAAAACTGATCAGATCCAAAAAATTATTTTATATATTATTAAACATAGAATAATATATAACAAAAAATGCTATATAACATATATGTATATATACAATAATATAATATTTTAATTATTGGGTCAGATCTCGGATCCACTAATATCTTGATCCAATCCGTCGGATCCAAATCTTGAACCTATACCCCGATCTAGATAGGGTAAAATTCAGGTTTTGGATCCAAACTGGGTAAATTATCAGGCCCAAGTCCTTTGAAAACCCATTATCAACATCATCTGATGAAGTAAGGGAAAAGAAGTTAGATTTGTATGATAATGAATATTTTATTGATATAGCAGTTTAGCCTCCACACAAAAATTTCGAGACAATGCTAGGCCCTGGGGCTTGCCTGACCTGAGCTGAGTATATCAGCCAAGTTCGAGTGGACTGCGATTGATTCCTGCACAAGCTAAAAAAAACTGAAATATTTTAACAAGGGTGCGGTTTTTATAAAGCCGACGCTCGAAACAATCCAAGTAAAGCGCGCCTTCAAATAGTGTTGAGAAATGTGGTTTTATTATGGAAATAGTTGTTATAATCTTAAAATATATTTTCATCTCTAATTATAAAATTTAAAGCTTCAAAATATTATAGATCGAGCAGATCTATGAAAACTTGAAAATTGACAGTCAAAAAATGCATTACAAGATGCACTATATCCAAAACTTGAAATCCATTTTTCTCTCATGTCTATGTATCTTGAAGTTGAGATGGTCAATTAGAGAATATTTCGGCATCAAAACAACCTCTTCTAGTGAAATGTTTCAGGTGCGTCCTAATTTGATTGTTTAGAGCTTCACACTTATATAAACTTTGTCCTTGTAAACATCCTGACTAAGTCTGAGTAACTCGGCTCAAGTCGTGCTGAGAACTGTAGCAGCAAAAAAAAAGTTAAAAAATTATAAAAAATACAAAAAAATCTAAAAAAAAAAAGAAGGTATGTTTATAGTAAGGCAAAACACTTCCAAATGAGGTTTCAAAAGTAGAATATATTTTAAAAAATCAACTTGTGACCGAGGGTATTTTCCAAATAATTAAAAAAATGGAAAAATGTGAAAATAATTATTTATGATCTAAGGGGGTATTTTCAAAATAATTCAAACAAGATGAGAAAATGTGAAAATAATTATTTATAGCCTGAACACTTTACTATACTTACCAAAATAGCAACAAATATAGAAAACGTATAAAAAATAAATACCTTAATTTTTGAAATTTTTATATTTATTAAATTTTTTTAATATCCCCAAGACACCCAACTTGGGTAACTCGACAGGGTGCTCCGACCGAGAGCACTGCACATGACTAACTAAAAAGAATCCAGTGCAAATATTTTTGATAAATGAATGGCAGAGATTATTTTTATTTGTGACATGCACTATTGGTGTTGGACAAGTTGTGTGCATCGGCACAAGGTAAATCTATTCGATTACTCATTGGCCTCTTCACGTGAAGCACGATTTCAATCTAACATTTAATAATGAATCCTCGAGAGGCCAATTTATCTCAATTCTTGTGGGGATATTGAAATACGTGCTAGTTAATTATTTATATATAACAATCTAGTTTTCTTGCGGACCTAATGGTTTTGTGTGTATATAATATCTCACATGGAGATCATGAATGTGTTAAAAAATAATTAAATTTTTTTTTAAAAAAAATAAATTTTTAAGGAATTTTTTAAACTGGATTTTACCCTTTGGACTACAATTCTATGCCTCGGGAGATACTGGATTTTACCCTTTGGACTACAATTCTATGCATTGGGGGATACAAGTTACGCATATGCATAAACTACTTTTCTATATAAAAATATAATTTTTCTATATAAAAATAATAATTCTAGGCATTTTTCTAAGCTTGGTCAGCTTGGCTCAGCATCACCGATCTTGACACGGAATTAGTGAGATCTTGTTGACACAGAGTTAGTGGGGACAACTTGGTTCCTAATAAGAGTTGAGAATAGGTCTGATTCAAGACCCGCGTGAGCAAGTATATTTCGGAATTGGGTGTTATCGATTATGTAATGCATCACATCTCGCCATTACAACGTTATAAAATGCTATGAACCAAGGTTTAAAAAACGGACCAGTGACTTGGATTGACCACCCAAAAAACCGTATCAGATCGGTTGATTGGCGACTCAGATCGGCCTAATTTTTTAAAAAAAACACTATAATTTCTAAAAAATCTAGATTTTTAGGTTTCTAAAAGAAATATTGGCAATTGCATTACAATTTTAATTATTTTAGTGAAAATGCATAAATACTAAAAACCTATCTAATGTGTGGGTGTTTATGGTTTATTTCATTTCACAATCAATAATTTGTTGGCTTTTTTATAGAAAAAATACCTTTTTTCATAAAAATCAATAATGTGATGTATAAATAGTTCCTAGTGAATCCCCTTGTTGCATTAAGTCTCCTATTTTCCCGATTTAAAGCTTTCTTCCATTTTTTATGAGTTGAATGTTGATGAACCATGGCCATTATGTCTCTTATAAAACTAAAAAAAAAAGCTTAAATAATTTGTCTTCAAATAAATGATTGACAATCAGTCCTTGATGATGATTTCGAGCATTTTAGTAATGATTTGTTTTTAAATTAATCGTCGTGATTGCAAATATTTCGAAACCTTCAATTCGTCGTTATTACAAATATTTCGAAACCTTCAATTTAAAAAAAGGCCGAACAACTTACAATTGAGTGTACTTGAACAAATGTGAGAGAGCGCATATTATATATATATATATATATATATATATATATAAACCTCATTAGGTTGGGCGTCTCTTTGTTCATAAATAAACGCGGGGTAGACATAAGGGGGCAAGCCCTTAAAAAAACGGCTTTAAGTTGGAAGTCTTTGGTAGGTTTTTCATGGATGCACGTGGCCCACTCCTCTTTAAGCAGAGGGTTACTAATATGCAATGAAGTAGTTTTAGAAAAAGTTCTATAAAGGTTGCGGGACCACTTTTATATAATAAAATATAAAATACAAAGGTCGTGGGACCACTTTTATATAATAAAATATGAAATACAAAAGTCGTAGGACGA